AACCACCAACCTTCTGGTGAGCACTCAGATGCCTTAGGCACTGCTCTACCAAAGCTCCTTCACCTCAAGGTGGTATCGCTGTTAATTCTCAAAAATGGTTTGGACATTATGTGTATATACATGTAGTTAGTGCAATGTGTTCAACTTCACTGACAAGCATGCAGAGAACCTGCCATTCCTGCTTTACTCACAATATCAAAGTGACTAATAGGAATTGTTTTCATTCCAGGATTATTTCTCTCAACTGAGAGACACAATTATCTGAGGGTCTGGTTCCTGGTCACCACTCCCACAGTCACCCCTGCTCCCTAGCTTTCCCTGAAATTAACTAACAATGAAGGATTTGCAATTTCCCAAACCACAAACTGCCTTGCTTCAGGGAGTTTATATTTGACACTCTCAACTGGACCCTCCCCTGCCCTGCCAGTCACCTACACACTTCTTTTTACTTGTCATTTAGTTCTCATTGTATTCCTACCATTGCTCTCATATGATGCTGCTCCCACAATATGAAATTCTATGGGCAGAGCCTGGGGCTTGGTTAGCCTAGTAGCCCCACTACTTGGGCAGTTTCTTTTAAGGGACAGAGAGATGCTCCTCTAATGTCCTGAGAGTTTATGAGTCAGTGAGCAAGGAGTCTAATTTATGAAGGTTAAAATCTTCCTACCTTCTTGAATAAGCTAAGCAAACCCAGTTGTTTATCATTTAATTTTAGCACTTTGTATAATACAGAACAAAGCACTAAAAGTGTTGAGGAATGCCAAAAAATGACCATCATTTACATATTTCCTTTTTCTTTTCTATCACATTTATAAGCTGAGTTTTTCCCATTTCTGAGGAAATACCTATCCAAATGACATGTTATCTGGTCCCTGGTAACAGAATAAGATTGGGCAGGGCCCCAATTTGTTTTCCAAATAGCAAAGCTCTCACCATTAAACATCCTAAACAGCAATAAATTCATGAACAATGTGATACATTTAGATGTTAAGGCTACTAAAATGTTATGTTCAAAAGAACATAATAATTCCACAAAAGGATAAATCTCCAAGTTACTATACAACAGGAAAATAAAGATATGTATATGCACTGTGTTCATTCCAGTCCCACCCTCCACTCCTTAGAAAGCTTGTTAAAAATAAAGTGAAATA